TTGGTATTTAAATGTTGTGCTGACTTTGCATTCCTGGAATAAATCCCACTTGGTTATGGTGTATTATGCTTTTTATATGTTGCTGAATTTGGTTTGTCAGTTTATTGTTGAAATGTTTGCACCTATATTCAATAGAGAGATTGGTGTGTAGTTTTCTTACAATATGTTTGATTTGGTATTAGGGTAGTACTAGTTTCATAGAATGAGTTGGGAGGTCTTTCCTCCTCTTCTATTTTTGGTGAGAGCTTTTGACATATGGGTCCTAACTCTTTAAATGTTTGGTAGAAGGTACCAGTGACGCCATCTGTTCCAGGACTTTTTTTTTGTGGGACATTCTTTGTTTATGACTTGGATCTCTTGATATAAGTCTATTAAAATTGTCTATTTCTTTTTGGGTCCATTTTGGTAGTTAATCTCTTTATAGGAATTTGCCCATTTAATCTACCATGTTCATATCTACCCACTACAATTGCAGACACTAAATTGGTGGTTAAAAATATTTGAAAAGTAAAGAAGTTTGATTTATCTTGCATTAGAAGGCAAATATTTCAATTTTTTACCTGAAGTAGCCTAGAAGAATCAAATGTCATCTTGATAATAAGGAATTTGATAGCTAAATCTTTAAGTATGCAAAGTAGAAATAGGAAATATACCTAAATAGTATGCCTTAAGAGGAAAATTCAAAAATGGTTAAATATTTGCCTTTGGGTTTATGAATTCAAAGTGAAACTAGTCTATTAATGAATAAAACATTTTCTCCTTAATAATATTATACAACTTAAAAAAATTACTGATAGGATACCAAGGAAATGAATTCTAGATTGTACCCTTTTCTGAGCAATTAATGTTCCCTGAATTAGTTTTGTTCCTCCTCTCTCTTTCTATAGAAAACTAAGCAAAATAAATGATATGTTATAAAGCAGTCCCTCTCAAAATCCAAACTGATAGCCACAATGTTAATAATAGTCCTTTTTCTAGCAAAAGGAAAATATTAAGGTAATTAAAATGACAATAAATATTTAAAATGTAGAAACCTTTTTATATCTTTCTTGTTTGTTTGTTTTCTTAATACTCACCAAAAATATTTTTCTCATTGCTTTCCAGAAAAAGTGTACCCATAAGGGAGGGTGGGATGGAGGGAGAGAGAGAGAGAGAGAGAGAGAGAGAGAGAGAGAGAGACATCCATATGAGACACATCAACTAGTTATTTCCTACACATGCCCCAACCAAGGGGTAGGAAGTAAACCTGCAACACAGGTACATGTCCTTGACCAGAAATTGAACTGGAAACCCTTTGGTGCATGGGCTGATGTTCTAACTACTGAGAAACACAGGCCTTTTTATATCTTTATTTTTATTTATTTTAGGCAAATTATTTTACCCTCATATATATGTATGTTTGTTCTTTGGAGGGTACCTCACTGTTTCTTCTCTCTCTCCCTCTCTTTCTCTTTCTCTTTATCTCTCTCTCCCTGTTTGCCTTAAGATAGTGTATTCATTTCAGCCCAGTTAGTTAAGAACTTAAGTATCATTTAAGTGAGATCAATCACCATTTTTCTTCTTTCTCTGTCTCTATCTTGTCCTCAATTAGTCTTTGTTCAATATATAATTATTTAATACTAGTAGCCCGGTGCACGAAATTCGTGCACTTGGGTAGGGGGGGAGAAGGGGCCCCTCAGTCTGGCCTTCACCCTCTCCAATCTGAGACCCCTCAGGGAATGTCCAACTACCTGTTTGTGCCCACACTTTTAACAGATAACAGCTCCATTGTTGTTCCTTTCTTATGCTTAAAACCATTGGAATTAGTAGGTATTCAAAGTGTGTATACATTTTGGGGGGACACCCTGTATATCTCTAGTCAGTGGTGAAAGAAACCAACAGCAGATTTGGAACCCCCAGACAGGGAACCTTGCTCACTCCCCACATGTCTCCCCACTTCACTTTCCACCTTCGTGGGCAGCAGGAGAATCAATGTTTTCTCTCATTACTTCGGAAAAGCACATCCTGTCACCCATTGCCCGGCAGGAGTGCGCTAGGCCCCAAGCAAGCAAGGCTCAGTCAGGGCAGCCTTCGTTCATGGGTGATGGCACCCAAAGTGCACATTCCTCCTCTACAGTCGCCCTGACTATCCCACTGTTTCACTGAGAGGACGAAATTCCTCTCTGCCTCTGGGCTCTTGATCTTGAACGCTGACCGAAGGCACCTCAGAGAGGGCCGCCCGTGCCCACCAGGTGTGTCTGTCTGCACCTGCTCCTGCCTCAGCACCTGCATTAACCGCCCCCAGAGGTGATCTCGTAGCTGCACTGGCCTCCATGGGAACAGGGCATCACCACTCCGCCCTCTCACTGTCATCTCACAGGCGCCCACTCTCAGCACCCAGAACACCCAGACACTCTCCAAAGGATGTGAGCGCATCAGAGGGGATGTGTGCACACCCTGTGGGGGTGTTAGGCATGCCGGGTTGATGGAAGTGTGGTGGAGAGGTGGGGGGAACTTGTGCACACCTTGGTTTGCAACTGTTGCAGGCGTGGGAGGGTGACAGTGTGCTGGGGGATGTTCGCATGCCAGGGGGGATGTGCACACCGGAGGCCTCTGGCTTTGCAGATCCGCAAACCCCCGTGCGGCCAGGAGGACTTCAGTCTGGCCCACCACGGTGGCTGTCCCTGCGATCCTGCACCTTCTGGGCCAGGAGGCGGATCTTGCGCAGTCACTCCTGGGCGCTGATGGCTGCCTCCCCTCCGTGAAGGGTCACGGATCCGAGTCCCGGGACCATGCACAGCCTCAAGCGCTGCCCCCCCCCCCCCCCAGCATGGTCACAGATCCGTGTCTTGGTCCCGTGGACAGCCTCAAGCACTGACCCCCACCCGGCAGGGTCACAGATTTGGGTCCCGGACTGCAGACAGCCTCCCGTGGTGCCCCCCGTCTGGCAGGGTCACAGATCCAGGTCCCTGGACAGCGGGCAGCCTCAAGCACTGCCGCCCCACCCGCAAGGACATGGATCCAGGTCCCAGACCACGGACAGCCTCAAGCACTGCCCTGCCCGGCAGGGTCACAGATCCGGGTCCCAGACCGCAGACAGCCTTCCCTGCTGCTGCCTGCCTTCAGTATGCAAATTAGCTGCCATCTTGTTGCTTCAGGGTGGGGGTCCCCACTGGGGTGCCTGGCCAGTCTGGGTGAGGGGCTGAGGGCTGTTTTCAGGCTGGTGGGTGACTGAAGCTCCAAACCTCTCCTTTTTTTCTTTTTCTTTTTATTCTGGCATTTATTTACCTTCTATGCCTGTCACTGGAGCTGAGAGCCGGCTTTCTCTCTGAGGCTCGGCTGCTGAAAGCAGGTTTCTGGCCTTTGTTTACCTTCTGTATTCGAAACAATGTTGCGGTCTTGCTGGCTGAAGCCTGGCTGACTGAAAACAGGTTACTGGGGTTTTGTTTAGCTTCTATATTTGTTACAATGTTTTAAACTGCAAGCTCAGAGGCCGGCAAGGCAGGTGGGGAACATTGGAGTCCTCCGTCACTGAAGCAAGCAAGCCTTCCTGTTTGCTTCAAGCTGCCTGGCTGCCGGCCGCCATCTTGGCTGGCAGTTAATTTGCATATCTCACTGATTAGCCAATGGGAAGGGTAGTGGCTGTACGGCTAATTACCATGTTTCTCTTTTATTAGATAGGATTGAAAAACAATATCCGACTTTACCAGGAATTTTATTGCATAGATTGTACATCATTTCTCCTCTTACTTGGGTATAGCCAAGCATTTTTTTTTCAATGTTAAATGAGAGAGAGAGAGAGAGAGAGAGAGAGAGGGAGAGAGAGAGAGAGAGAGAGAGAGGGAGAGAGAGAGAGAGAGAGAGAGAGAGAGAGAGAGGATAATTTGGCTTAAATGATATGTAATAAACTTGGCTTAAATGCCACATAATCAAATTACCAGATTATTGGCTGTATACTCTAATCTATATGACTTGAGATAGAAAATCAAGTGTTCTTACCTATGTCTGTGGGAGCATACCCTGAATTCATATAACAGTAAGAAACTCACAGGGGCTGAAGCATCATTGCAAATGGGAAAGTAGAGATGAGGCTTTTTAGGTGCCCTAACAAGGAGTTCAGATTTTGACTCTCTAGGAGATGGAGACCCATTGGCGGATTTTGATCAATGATGGGGCATGGTCATTTGCAGGGAACCGTCCTTCTTGGACTCTGTGGAGGTGGCTTTGATCACGCAAGTCTTACCTTCTAAAGGAGGACACTCTCAATCTCATATTGGAGTTTTGGGAAGTATTGGTGGTATTTGTTGGTCACGGGGTCATTTGGCAAAACTTTTCTATCCGAACCTAAAAATTAAAGTTATTCCGATGAGAATCTCAAGCATAGTCTAGGTCATGTTACATAAACCAGGTTGAACTTTTAAAAATGAAATGTCCTATTTTTTGGCTAATAAAAACAAGCTTATGACTGCTCTCTGATAATTCTTGGCAACACAACATCTTTTTATTGTTTTTGCTTCTAGTACCTTTATATTAAAATTTCTCTTTTTAGAATGGTTCATAGGAAGGGGCAGCATTTAATGTGTTTTATCTTTTGCATCCTATAACGTAATAAAGAACTGTCTATATTTCCCAGAGCTTTTTCATTTCATTTTTATGACACTTTTTTTCATGGGTAGGTATTGCTCTCCTGATTTTAAAATTAAAGAAGCTGATGCCCGTGTTAAGCAATTCAACCTTTCTTACAGACATAGCAGAGCTAGAATTTGAGGTCACGTCTGTCCAGCTTCAAAGTCCTTTCTTTTCCATATATCACCCTCCCTCTTGGGCAGAATTTCTCTAATTGCAATGCCACTTTTCTTCTGTGCATTCCTTCACGTGGGCTGGAGGCATTGGGTGAATTAGAAATCTACCTCTCTCTGGGTTCGGATAACTCAGCCTGTTTCATTCTTTAGGCCATGCAGCCCTTGTTTCCTCCATCACAACAGGCTAAGAGTTGCCAGAGGAGCTCTGCTTGCACACAATTGGCAGCCAGGAGAGGGGCAGCTGCTGCCCTCTTCAGATAATCTCTCTATTTAAAGTTCAAAGTGACCCTGGAAAACAGTAACAAGTAAGCCTGGCGCTGATCAGCCCACCCAACGACAGGAAGAATGGCTGAAAAAGGTAAGATTTCAGCGTCAGGCTGTCTTGGCAAAAAAAAAAAGACCCAGGCTCCCTGGCTTATTTTGCTTCCCGGTATCTGGTGTTACTCGGTTATTCTGATGAATGTGGTATATCTGCTAAAAGAGCATTAACCATATATGTTAATGTGGCCCAAAAAACGTGCATTCGATGTGCAGGGTATGGACCATGTCTATATATTCGTGGACAATTCTGAAAGGATTAAACAAATCTAAAAGCTGAATTTGTTCACACTTGTTCTGAAAGATGAGTTAGAAGTCAGCTATTCTCCGGGGTGGTACTAGATTTGAGGGATTAGATTGCGGTATTGTGGCATGCTGGACCAGAATTAAGGGCATTTGAATTCTGTGTCAGAGCTGCTACGAATGGCCTGCGAGTTTGAGGAAGTCCCTCAACCTCTCTGAGCCTGTTTTCTAACTCTAAAATGGGCTTAGTCATCTCTCATATGCTGTGCATCTGAAATTTTTTTCCTGGTTTTTAAATATTTTTTATATTTAAGAAAGATGACTAAGGCTGATATTGAATATGCTGTGTCCAAGAAATAGTTTCTAAATGCCTACAGGAATTCTTGCTTTTAGTCCTGACAGTCTCATGAAATATGCAGTATTATCATCATTCCAATTTTACAGATAAGGAAGCAGAGACAGCAAAATTTTGTAACTTGCCTGCAACCATGCACGTAGAGAGTGGTGGCATCATGTTTTGAACTTGGACAGTCTTGTTCCAGGGCACTGTGACCTTAAGAATTCTTCCAGATGTAACTGCTTGGGCATGCTCAGGCCTGGACAGAGAAAGAAGCATTTTGAAGTTGGTCTTCATATTTTAAAAAAGGTTTTGTGCTGATTTGTGCTATGTTGAGTTCCTGTACTCCTATTTCAGAGCAATGGGACAGATTTTTGGTAAAACTTAACATATTAGTGTTAAAAGAACAAAAATGCAGTTATAGTTTGAATGTTAAAAGGCACAATCAATTGTATTGGTTTACAAGAAATTATAAATAATTAAGGCTTTTTAATATGTACATTTTAGAATTATATTAAAATATCCCTATATAAAACAGTTATAATGCTCAATTAAAATATCAATATTCACTTTTAAGTTCTTTGAAATTGGGAAAAATACTAAATCACATATATGAACGCTCAAAAAAAGTACTATTATGTACTTCCACTGTAATGGCATCTTAATTCATAAAAGGTTTTCATTCAAATAAGAGTAAAGGGTATGTCTTAATGTTCACTTTATCCTTAAAGCAATACCACATGGCAGATAAAGAGAAGGGTTTTTCATTCAGTGGTTAATGCTTTGTTCAAGGTCACAGGAAGGTGGAGAAGCAAGGAAAACCTAATTAATTTTTGAGAATTAAGAAAGACTCCAACATTTCTGGAAACATAGATTTAAATGATTAATATTTATTTTAACTTCTGAAAGTTTGCTTTAATGAGAATATCTTTTAATTTTAGACATGTCTTTAGAAGTTTCCAGATGATTGTATTTTAATAGTATTTTTAAAACTCCACATTTTAAAGTAATGAAAATTATAAAGTGAAGAAATGCAATTGCTAAGACTATGCATCCTCTTTGTTAGCCAATGGCATACGATCTAATTGTGCTTTTCAATTAAGAATATATGAGTCCTTAACCCAAAACATTAATTTTATATGATATCTTTCTGTGCATTTTTTAATTCTATTGTGTGATATGTGTGTGTTTGAAAGAATAAGATTGAGATGCAGTGAATATTATTTTAAAAAGATATTTTTTAAGTTGCTTCTTATTGGTCAGGGTACAAACAGCAGACACAGGAGGAGTCATTATACTAATGTCTTTTATGTGTGTGTTGGTCCAGTGTTGGTTGCTATATTGAACAATTTTTTTGAAAGGTCCTGAATCTCTCTTCTCTAGTCAAGAATGATCATATATCTCTAGCTGGTTTGGCTCAGTGGATAGAGTGTTGGCCTGAGGACCGAAGGTCCCGGTTTCGATTCTGATCAAGGGCATGTAACTCGGTTGCAGACTTCTCCCCAGCCCAGCCCCTTGTAGGGACTCATGCAGGAGGCAACCAAATGATGTGTTTTTCTCACATCAATGTTTCTCTGTCTTTCCCTCTCTCTTCCACTCTCTATAAAACTCAATGGAAAAATATCCTGGGTGAAGATTAAAAAAAGATTGATCATATAAAATATAGTGCTTTCTCCCTATGATATTTTAGAGTAAAGTTAGCTATCAAGGCCAAGAACAATTTCAATACCTTTCCCTATGTTGTGATTATTATTTAGTATAGTAGGAATTACGTCAGAGTCATTGTCAATTGTTTGTATGTAAACAGCTGCTCTTTGTGTTATTGCACACATACATGAATGTTTGCTGTCTTCACTACACATGCACAGTGGATAGTTTACAAAGCCTTTACATGTATTCAAATTCATTTGATCCTCGAAACAACTTCAGGGGATAGATATCAGATGTTTCATTATCCCTATTTTACAAATAGAGAAGTTCAAGCTCAGAGTGGCCCAAGGTCACATAACTGTAAAAGGAAGAACTATGATGTGAACACAGGCCTTCCATTCCAAATTCCCAGCTGAGTCCCATCTACCTTTTGTAGAAAAAACACTGATAGTCATGTATGGGTATGACTAGAGAGTGTATTTATTCCCTTGTTATTACCAGATCCCTCTTATTCTTTTGTTTCAGGAGATAAAATGCCCAAATGACCTACCAAATCTGTTCTGTTTTGTTTATTCTTAAACAGAATCTACATCATCACGCATTCTGGTCCCTATTCTTCTCTTGATTGCCTGGATTGTGGGCTGCATCGTAATGGTTTACATTACCTTCTTTTAGAAAGGTAAAGTTTTCAATGATTGAATATGTTCATTCATAAAAGGCATACATTAGTCCGGAAATACTCTTTTCTGCTTTACTAACAAACATTTTACCATGCAGGCAAGACGACTTCAGACTGATGCCATTTAGAAGAATGAAGACAAGTGTGAACATGACAGATTATTAAATATGTCTCATGTAGACAACTGCAATGTTTGACACTACTTCATAAACTTGGATTTGTAAACTGATACTTTGGTGTACATAAATGTCTCTTTGGGAACGTGTTTAAAATCTTGGGTACAAATAAGAACTGTAAGAAAGTATGGATGAAGTTTTTTATAACCTGGGAGTAGGAAAAACATTCTTACTTATGACTAAATGCATAAGCAATAGGAAAACGTTTGGTAGCTTAAACTACAATTAAAATATTCCCCCCCCAAAGAAATAGAAAAAAATGAGCTAGAGACAAGAAGGAATAGTTTACGGAAAACAGAATATAAATGTAAACTTGGTCCTTAACCTCTTGCTTATAACAAAAGAACTGTAATTAAAACTGCACTGAAGAGCCATTGCTCACCTATCAGGTGGGGGAAAATAAAGACAATATATGTGTTGGTCAGGCTGTGCAGAAAGAAGCAATCTCATATATTGTCTTTAGGAATTCAAAAATAGTACAACATTTTAAGGGTTGTTTGGTATCAGTATCTACTAAAATTACATATGTATTTACCTTTTGACCAAACTATTCCTCTTCTAAGAATATTGCAATTTCCATAGATATTTTGGTAAAAATACAAAACAGCATATATACAATTCTATTCACTATGGCATAATTTGTTATAGCAAAAATCTAGAAATAAGCCAAATGTCCATTAATAGGGGACTGACTGAGAAAACTGTGCTCTATTTACAAAATGTAGTACTTAACGCAGCTGTGAAAAGGGATAAAGAAAGTCTCTATCAACTGATGTGATGTCATCTCCAGGTCAACATGTTAAGTGAAAAAAAAAAACAGGTACAGAAAATGTGTGCTACCTTTTGTGTCAGAAAAGAGGAGGCTATCCCAATATGCACACATACTTATATTAAAATATTGAAACAGAGGCACCACATTGTAGGCTATTTCTGACTGTACCTTATTTTATAGTTTTTATTATTCAAATCTTATAAACTGAAAAGAAAAAGACAGAAAAAGAAAGGTCATCCCCCCAACTTAAATCAAACTAAAACAAATACACATAATAGTATATCAAGTTGGTGGCACAACTACAAAGAGAAAAAATTCTTTCAAGTGACTTTAAAACACTGTATTTCTGACTGTACATCTTTCTTGGGATAGGAATCTTATCCACGCTCAAAATTCTTTTTGTTAGTACTAATATTGGTATTATTAGTTTCAAATTTATGTCATCAGCAACAAGAAGTCAAGCAAACACCTGGTAATCTTATTTAGCTCCACCCTCTGAAAAAGCCTAAAAGGGATGAGCACCCTCACACCTTTATTGTGGTCTCTAAATACCAGTGTCCACTGGAGGGACCCAGAATTTCCCATGGGGATCAGGCTTAAACTGGCAGTCGAACGTCCCCCGAGGGGTCCCAAATTGGAGAGGGTGCAGGCTGGGCTGAGGGACACCCCGCCCCCTCCTCCAGTGCATGAATTTCGTGCACTGGGCCTCTAGTTATAGAATAAAAGAGATTTAAAAGGATAGCAAATTGTTGAAAGCTGCTACAATGTTTGGACGGTTTCAAGCCTCAGACTAATGAGAGGGCATGGTCCTCTTGTGGCAAAGCCATGTGTAAGTCCCAGCTTGGAGGGCGAAGCCCTCCCAGCACAATTATAACCAAATGCTATAGTTGTAAGCTTGACCTATGGTCCGAACCTGTGGTCCCAGGTGGCTAAGTGATATAGGCTGTGGGAGGTGCAGAAAGTGCTGCCAAAACAAAGCTTGATAGAGTTCAGTTGCATGAATTGAGTAGATTCGAAACCCGCGAGAACATTCTAAACATCTTGACTACGCCCTTACTTTGCCTCATGGAATCTGGCTACAAAATAAAGACTCTGCTTACAGGCTGTGGCACTGTCTCTCCATCCGAGAGCAGTGTCCCACCTAGCACCAGCTTTATTCTCTTGTCTGTCTTCTTTAATCCTTCACCAGCCCCCTCAGGTTCACCCCTGGCTGTGCTGAGCACCGCACAGCAAATAAATGTGATGTATGGACCAACTACAGAAACCACTGTTGTATTTCTGTAATAGAGATGTTAGGAAATTGTTATTAATTTTGTGCATTATATCGTTTGCAATTGGCAATGGAAAAGAAAAGGCTCTTATCTGTTAGAGATACATACAGAAATATTTACTGATGAAATTATATGATGTCTAGGAATTGCTTTAAAGTATTCCCATAGAAAACAAACAAAACAAAAAATAAAGGAGATGGGAAATAAGACAGGCAAAGTGCTGATATTTGTTTAAATTAAGAGATAACTCCACAAGAATTTATTATACTCTTTCCTCTACTCTTGTACATATTTTTTAATATATGTTTTTATTGATTTCAGAGAGGAAGGGAGAGGGAGAGAGAAATAGAAACATCAATGATGAGAATCATTGATTGGCTGCCTCCTGCATGCCCCCTACTGGGGATCCAGCCTGAAACCCAGGCACGTGCCCTAACTGGGACTTGAACCAGTGACTTCTTGGTTCATAGGTTGACGTTCAACCACTGAAACACACCGGCCAGGCTTTAAAAATTTTTTTAAGAAGTTTGTTTTTTCTCCCTATGGCTCTGAGTTGTGAATTACAAGTAATACAGGAAGAGTTAGAAAGCGAGAATGTGGCAACCTACGTCTTATGTTTGTCAGAACAACTTCCTTTCTTTAGTCTGGAGTATTTTTCTCCACATGCACAGGTCCTTTTCTGTAGCTCTTTGAAGCTACAGGATCCCTCATTGCTGGTTCAAATGTATGCTCAACGTTTCCCTGGAACAAAAAATGCCTCAGTGTTCCCCATAAATCTTTACATACTACCTCTGACAAAGACTTTCTTATTTCAAGGACTCAATATTCTCTTCGCCAGAACTTTAAAACAGACTGTAACGTTGTTTTTAGGCAGCAATAGGAATGAATTTTTCTATAATAAGTATTTTAATTCCATGTTTCCACAGCCAACCTGATCATTTTCTCAGAGAACAAAGGAAGCTTTGTGCAGGGAAAGGAATAAAAGTTGGGGAAGTCAGATTGCTTCATCCTGACTTGGGAGCCCTATGAGTCGGTAATTAATCTCTCTAACCTTAATTTTCTCAATTATAAAAGACAAGTAATAATATTTTCATGAGATTGTGGTGATGACTGTAATGTTTTCTAAACCTACCTGATCTGAATCACCTGAGTCATTTGTTGTAAATACAGATCCTCAAGCTCTTTCTCTGGAGAGTTCATTTCAATAGGTCTGGAGGACGCCTATTAAAAAAATCAGTCCTCTGGGGGATTCCTATTATCACAAAAGTTTGGAAAACAGAATTATAGTGTGTGTGTGTGTGTGTGTGTGTGTGTGTGTGTGTGTATTACTCCCTGATACATATAGACACTGATCTATGACAGCTTATATTGGTGGGTCCCAGCCAACCACTTTTCTATTTATTGCTGCAACAAGAAATTAGCACTTTATTATGTTATATAATACTAGGGGCCCGGTGCACGAAATTCGTGCACTGGGGTGGGGGGGTTCCCTAGCCCAGCCTGCCCCCTCTCACAGACTGGGAGCCCTCAGGGGATGTCCTACCAACGGCTTAGGCCTAAGCCGAAGTCTGACCTCCCTCTGCAGGAGGCAACCGGGCTGATCAGGGGAAGGTGCCAGCCCCATCATCCTGCTGCTGCCACCACTGCCAGCCATCACAGCTGCCAAGGTGTTTTCATCAACACAGACTCCAGTCCCTTCACCATGAAAAAATGACAACTTTCTTTAGGCATTTTCAAGATGTGTCTTTCATAGGATATGACATTTATTTATTTATTTATTTTTTAATCCTCACCTGAGGATATGTTTCCATTTTTTTTAGAGAGTGTGGAAGAGAGAGGGAGAGATAGAGAGAAACATCAGTGTGAGAGGGATACTTTGATTGGTTGCCTCCTGCATGAGCTCTGACCTGGGTCCCGGCCAGGGAGGAGCCTGCAACCTAGGTACATGCCCTTGACCATAATCAAACCCAGACCCTGCGGTTCGGCTCTATCCACTGAGCAAAACTGGCTAGGGCAGGATATGACATTTCTTAGCCCCTCCAGCAGCGGACCTTCATTTTTTCCTCCAGGAGTGTGGTGGAAAAACCTTAGATCACCTTCTTGGATTCTTATAACCCAAGTTACCAAGAACACTGCAAGTGGCGGCATACAGGGAGCTTAGCCAATGAGCAGTCAGAAAAGGTGTTTAAGCTCGAACTGGTTTGGCTCTGTGGATAGAGCATTGGCCTGCAGACTGAAGGGTCCCAGGTTTGATTCCTGTTAAGGGCATGTACCTTGGTTGGGGGCACATCCTCAGTGGGGAGTGTGAAGGAGGCAGATGATAGATGTTTCTCTCTCATCGATGTTTCCAACTGTCTATCTCTCTCTCCTCTTCTCTGTAAAAAAATCAATAAAATATATGTTTTTTAAAAGAAAAGAAAAGATGTTTCCTCTGTAGCTCATGCACAGATGACGCCCTGCGTTGTGTCCACTGGGCTAGGGGTGTGTCCCTGCCGCCAGGGGCCATGCCCCTGAGGCCAGGAGCCAGCCCTGCGCATTGTGGGTGCCAGGCTGGGGGGCGTGGACCCAGGCCGCCGCTTGGCACCTATGCACGTGCAAGTGGCCACAGAGCGGGAACATCCGTTTGGCACCTGCACCCGTAGACCCCGAGTGGCCATGGACATTCTGGGACCCCGGCCACTCAGGGCCTATGTGCGGGCCTACAGGCTAGGAGCAGCCTGGGTCCTGAGGATGTTCTCAGGACCCAGGCTGTTTGGCGCCTGTGTATGCAAATTAACTAGCCTACTTTGTCAAGTTAATTTGCATACTCACTCCTGATTGGCTGGTGAGTGTAGTGGAGGGATGGTCAATTTACATGTTTCTCTTTTATTATATAGGAATACAGTATATTTTTAATTATACAAGATATAATGATTCATAATAATATTTGGCCACTAATTTTAATCTATGTAGAGTTTTAGTTTCCCCATTAAGTTTGAAGCTACTTATGGGTGAATCCATTTCTCATTTTTT